TTTTTTCAATGATTTTATTGCTTTAATGCGATACCCAAAACGTCAAACTTAATCATGGCCATATTGTAACATTACATTATATTTGCATAAACTTATGTTCCTTCCATGTAGCTCAAATCAGACTGAATAATTATATATTAATCAATGGTGCCAATGTCAAATTTTATATGTATTGCATAATAAAAAATGCACTGAGATATCGCCATCTACAAAATTTTTATGGCATTATTGTTCGTTAGTTATAAAGGTATCTTTTTCACATATAACACACCATCTTATACATGTTCATACGAATCAGTTTCACTGTCTTTGATTGTAATAAAGTAATTTGAGTGCGAAAACTAAAATACGTTATTTTTCTAGATGATGAGTTTAATAAAATACAAATAGAAAACGGTCAGTAACACTTAATATAATTATTTCTAAAATAAATTATTTAACTGAACTTTCATATAGTGGCATACTAAACCTACTAACTTATTAAATAATAGGGAGAGAGAGTAAAATCTTATAAGTAACCAAATACTTTTAATAAATTCTTAGAGTTTTAATGAACATTTGTACTAAAAATGTTCGGTATTTTATTATATTTATTTTATAAATAAAAAAAATAAAATTTACAACAAAATTTATTTTAATATTTTGCAGAGCGTTATGAGTTGGTATATCAGGTAGTTCTTATGGCCTACAAGTATGAACCAATGAATGGCAATAAATATGGTATAAAAGTTTTAAATTTATACTTATTTATTAAATCTACATAAAATAATAATTCAGTGAATTAAAATTTTAATATCAGTAATCACCGAGAAATACATTTTAATAATAAAAGTTGAAAAAAGGGGGTTTTAATTTTCCCTATCGTCTAGTAGAGTGCACCGTAGGAGAACAGAAATTTTAAATCCTCTACTCCCTCTTTTTTTTAAACGGTCGGCATTACTGTGGGCCGCCCTGGAATTGCCGTTAGGCATTACATCAGGGCAGCCCACGCTATTTATATAATTCACGCCACAACGTTGTGAATCAGCCCGGAATTAATCAAGAGCTGAATTTCAACGTTGTGTGGCCCCCTCCCGTTAACCGGATCCTAGAGTGGGAACTGTTAGGGAGTGTTGGCAAAATAACTCGCAAGACAAAAAACATAACACAAAAACAAGAACCTAAGACACTGGCCTAAATCAGCGCCTCAGATCCTCCTGTGCCGGAAGGCGTGGCTGCCTCTGTCTCAGGCGTTCCGCTTCCTCCTTCTTTTTCAAGACGGATTCAGCGAACGCCTGGACGAGTAACCACGCTTCCCGGCTAACCAACATCAGGTCCACTATGGACCTTACTCAGAACGTGGACCCTAGTCGGGACTCCAAAGAGTCCCGCTCATGGGCCCACACCTCGCACCTGAAGAGGGTGTGCAAAGCGTTATAAGTCTCTCTTGGGTGATCCGAACTCAGACCACGTATCTTACCCAACCCATCACCCCATACAACACCTTCCCTTACCACTACCACTATCAGAGAAGGCCTCTCCGTACCCCTTCATTATAATACCACGGCTCCCATTACTTACACCACTATTAGACCACGCCCCTTCCCAACTATCACATTGCCTTGCCACCACCGCCCCATTACCATGCCTATACAGTTGATGGTAAGCGGGGGGTTAGTTTCCCATTTTTACCCTACTCATAGTGTTAGCGTTAAAAAAGGCAACTAATTGGTAACATCTCAATCAGTGTTTGATAAGGATTTATTTTAGTGATTTTAATCTAAAGAATTTAAAGATCTTCTAAAAGATTCAATAAAACTCAAGAATTGAATAGTCAAAAATAATTAACCCGTGCCCAAAATTTTATGAACTTTAGAAGTAACTAATTAGTTTAAAATATTTTTTTGTTTTTAGAAAGAATAGAGGAGATATTGATACCATCCAGTTAGTACTTAACTTGAAGTTTGGATAATGAATATAAATTATTGCAATTTTACTCTTAGTTAATAGAAATAATTTTAATTCACACAATATCTCAGAAAAATGTTTATGGCATGTTTTATAGGATCGAAAGAACATACAATTGAAAATGAAGAAATAATCCGGAAATATATATTTAAATATAAGAACAAAAATGGTAAATACTTTATCAAACTATACAGAGTGATTGAATAATTATGACCCATGCAATCATTTTTTTAAATTATAAATATCATATAATTTTTTTTCTCAAAAGTTCATAATTCCATATGTATGATAAAAAATTAAATAGAAACAAATGAATTAGTGGATTGTTGACTGAGTCAATTTTTAACTTTTAGATCTCATAAATAAATAATAATTATATTTTTTGAACTAATGTTAAGTTATGAGTCCTATTATTTTATCTAAAATATTCCCTTATTATGCTAAAAATTTATTACTGTTTATATCAATTAGTTATTTGTATTGTAAATAAAATAATTAGTGTATTAAATTAATAATTATAATCAAATTACTTCCATAATCAAATTTTTGCCAGTATCGAAAAAGATACATTTGTAATCATTATTTTTTTATATAGTTAACATGAAAATTGAAAATTTAGAAATTTATAATGGTAATATTCTGATATTATTTTAAATAAAAAACAAAATAAACATTATATATAACTAGATCCGAATTAAATATTTTGTACTCATATTTATAGTATAGAAAATTTACTATAGAATTAATTAAAGTTAACTAATTAATTGACAATTAGCTATAAATTACTTATGAGTTGTTATAGAAGAATAACTAATATATTTTAACTAATTATAAAGTATAATTTTTAAAACGAATGTAATAAAACTTTATATTTTACAGAAAATAACGCTGACTACCAAACTGTTGTTAAAGAAAGAATTGCATTTATAAGAAATGCGGCAATATACATATTCAATAATAAAAAATGTAATTATCTTATCTGAATATTTTTATTTATTGATAGTGTGAAGTAACTGGTTCAGTTATTAAACATACTTCAATAAATGAACACTGTCGGTAGGCAAAAGTCACCTAATTTGGACATTATATTTTTATGGCACATTTAGGAAAGCAATCCAAATTATAAACAGCAACGTGACTACATTTTTAGACGTTGTATATATGAACCTTTTGATTTTCATGTCACGGATGTCTAAAACATCACTAAAATTATACCTATATACGTAAGCAATAATTTGGCATAATTGGTTTGATTTTTTAGCTTTAATGCGTAGCGAAAAAATTGAATTATCTACTTGGGACTGATTTTGCTCAACAAATATTTCAAAAGAAATAAAATAATAGTTGAATATATCTGTGACTTAAATTTGGACAAATTCCCTTTAATTCTTATATATTAAAAAAAAAATTTAAAAATAAATTACAATTTAATAAAACGGTAAATTTTTAGTTCAAATGCCATAACTAAATAATTATATATATATATACAGAGTGATTCATTAAGGATAAGACACTTATTTTTTCGGTAACTATTGAAAATTTTAAATTTTTGGTAAGGAAAATATTGTTTATTTCAAAAAACTCTACAATATTATGTAGTAAATTATAATTTTTTCATCCCTTCAAGGTTAATACACAAAAGTCAATATTTTTAATATACTAATTTGTAAACTAATTTTTATTGACCAAGATATGACATGTAAGATTACAATAATAATTTATGACACACTAATTAAGAGATAATAATAATAGATTCAAATCGGATCTTAACTATATTATTAAGAGCACAGTCTATTGGTTTGTAAGACAAATTTTAATACTGAAGAATCAATTTCTTTGAAAAACCCAACTCTATGCGTAGTATAGTGTCTCTTAATAATCGAATACTACAATAATGTTATCGTAATCATTGCTTACACAAAGTAATCTTTATTTTTGTTGACGGATACGTATTAAAAGTTGAAGCGTAATCTCATAAACTGAATTAAGTTAAATTAGTTTATGTTACACCATAGAAAATGAGCGACTCCTGTATTCAAAACAGTAAAATAATAGAAATTTAGTCCAAAATTATTTAACTTTAACAAGCTGTAACAGACGAACGGTTGACGGAAAAAAAAATTATAAAAGCAAAGTTGTTTATATCTTTATTCTAAATCATAATAATAAACTCAAAATAGGAGTTCCCATTTAAGAAAAATCAAGTTCATGTTTATTAACCTTGAAGGGATGAAAAAAATTATAATTTATTACATATTATTGTAGATTTGTTTGAAGTAAACAACATTTTCCTTACCAAAAATTAAAAATTTTCAATAGTTTCCGAGAAAATGAATGTTTTATTCTTAATGAATCATCTTGTATATATGTATAAAGGGAAAGGTAACCTTGGCATTTATACTCTAACAGAATATTATTCAAAATAATAATGATTATCACTTGTTAGTATTTGGCAGTTGAACTCAAAATTTTCATTTAAATTAAAAATATATTTAAATTTAATAAAAACTCTTGTGTTAATATCCAAAGGACATTTTGTTCTAATCATGTTATAACTTATATTTACAATACTGTGATTCGATTTTGACCAATATCAACATTTAATAGCTAAGATATGGAAATGGACCACTTTAAGCACAGAATTAAAATTACGCGACTCTCCCATATTACTACATAATAAAATCTTAACTAAGTAGCAAAAAAATTGGGTATTTTATAAATTTAAATTTATAGATTTAAGTAAACTATAAGCTGGTAAGATATTATTCAATTATAATACATTTTAAGTTATTTTAAACTCAATTATATTTAACCTTATAGACTTTTATTTAATATAATTAGAAACATTAAAATTAAAAAAAAGATAAATTCATTAATTTTATATGCAGATAATAGAATTCAATTTCTATATAAACAGCGTCCCTGACCTAACTGACATTGCTCATAACTTTTGGCAGAATTACCATTTTGTTGAATATTCTTTTTTATAGTTATTTCCTTTATAGACTACATTTAAAGTATATTTTTCATTATATATTACCAATAAGAAAATACAATAATAATACATTTATTTTTTTATAATAATAATAATAATATTAATAATTTTATAATACTGGTGTCGATAATAATTTTTATTTACCAGTCATTTCCATAAAATTTTTATCGATTAGTAATTTTCTTAGATTAGTAAATTAGTTAAACATTTATGTTTCCACCTAAAAAAACTCAAGTTAATAAAACTTTCTGGAGAAAGGGAGAGAGGAACAATTGTTATTTTATTATAGAACGAAGGATACTAACAACATCCAAAAAGAAAAAATTATATTATATTTTTAAAGGTATTTTGTGAGTAATAGTTAAAAAAACCCAGCACAGGGGCGTCGCGGCACAGTAGTGACGTGGTATAGTTGGATCAAGTATAATAATATCTGACAGTGATTAAAATCACTATAAAAAAAAACGCTTCGATGCAAATCTTTAGATAGTGTTTAATTTTAAAAAATTGGTGTATTATTCCAAAAGCTTCATAAACTGCTAGATCCTTATTAATATCCTGATTAAGATAAAGTATGTCGAATGAAAAAGGGATTATTAAAAAATAGTATTTTCCATAAAAAAATTATATTGATCAATACACTTTTCAATAAGTTATAGCNAAAAATAGTATTTCCCATAAAAAAATTATATTGATCAATACACTTTTCAATAAGTTATAGCATTATAATGTTAAAAATTAAAAAAATAAAATCGAGAATTTTCACACAATAATAGCATTTGGTAGCCATTTTCACCGTGAAGACAAAATAAAGTCCAACATTTTTTTTTTGCATAATATAGTACACTACATTAGCTTTAATTTAAGATATATATAAAAGTGTCAGACTTTCCGGAACACTTTCAAAATTTAAGTTGAAAAAGTTCTACTTTCTACATGTATTTTTTAGATTTGAACCCCCTCGTATATAGGGAAATGGTCCGATTTAAAAAAACAGTATGTCGAATGAAAGATGTATATAAATACTACTTTTCATGAAAAAAATGTATTGATCCATATATTTTTCAAAAAGTTATAGCATAATAAAGTTAAAAATGTAAAATACAAAATCGAAAATTTTCACACAAAAATAGCATTCGGTAGCCATTTTCACCGTGAAGATAAAATAAAGTCCGAAATTTTTTTTTTCCATGATAAAGAATATTACATTAAATTTAATTTAAGATATATATAAAAGTGTCAGACTTTCCGGAACACTTTCAAAAATTAAGTTGAAAAAATTAGTTTTTGTTAAAAAAGTTCATATTTTAAATCCCCCCTCATGAGCTGGTTAAGTGTTAGATTTTCAACAAAATGATATCAAACAAAAGGGAAATATCTAAGGTTTTAGTTGAAAAAAAAATTATGTTGATTTGTTTATTTTTTAAAAAGTTATGGAAGTTTTAAGAAAAAAATGACAAAATTTACCGATTTTTAAATTTTGNGATTTGTTTATTTTTTAAAAAGTTATGGAAGTTTTAAGAAAAAAAAGTGAAAAAAATGACAAAATTTACCGATTTTTAAATTTTTAAATTTTTTTGGATATTTCCCCTATTTTCGGGGAACGAGGGAGTTTTTTCAATTTTTGAGGGTAATGTCATCAACTAGATACGATTTGTGATATTTTGACGTATCATTGAAAGAAATCGGTTCGGTGAGAGCTGAAAAAAAGTGGTAACAGACACAAAAAAAAAACACATCTTAGTAAAACCAATACCTTCTCAGCTTTACATCGAAGCTAAAAATCACTCTATCTATACCTATATCGTAAACCGAACTGGCATTACATCACAATTATCTATTTGTTTATGTTTTTTTAATAATTATTGAGTCCTTAAACTACGTTTAATAACTTTTTTTATTATTATTTATACTAATAAGAAAATTAATAAAAACAAAAATAAATTTTTTTTTCAAAATTTTTTAACACACTTTCTTAATCTCTTTTTGCAAAAAAAATGTGACGGTTCTATATTATTTTTAGGATAGTACTTATTGAGTTACATACACTATTACATATTAAGTGTATATATAACGCAGTGGGCGCATCCTGTATAAATTATATTTTCCCTTTCAGTAAAACGACTGAGATTAGCCTGGCTAATTAATAAGTGGAGAGTCACTTTGGAGAACGCCTATGTTTAATTAAAACCTTGATTATGATATTACTATGTTAGTAGTCTGTTCAGTCAGAGTATGGCCTTTTGTAGTGTTGGTCGGTTAACAAGTAATTAGAGCAGAGAATGAGTCTTGCATAGTTAAGAATGCTTAAATTGATGAGTGGAGTGACGAGAGAAGATAAGATAAGGAATGAACATATAAGGAGTATAAGTGTAGCATGAATTGTGAATAAGATGAGAGGAAATAGACTTAGATGGTTAATCATGTTAGAAGGAAAGAGGAATCGGAAACTGTAAGAACAGTTATTGAAATGAATGTTGAAGGAAGAAGAGGTAGAGGAAAACCAAACAAGAGATGAAGGGATGTAATTAAATGCTTTATGATGTGCGTGTAGATGATGTGGGAGGTCGTGTTAAGTGGAGGTATAAAATACGGGTGGTTGACCTCAAGTAATTGAAATATAGATGTGGGAGCAAAAGATACTTTTAATATAAAGAAAATAAACAATAAAACCTCTTAAAATTAAAACTATTTTAACGGAAATCTGAAAGTTTTGAGATAAAATATGACAAACATTTTTTTGACCTATTTTTGTTTTAGGCAGTATATTAAAAAAATAACTATTGAAAATAATACAACTTTAATTTCTAGCTTCTTTTTTGATGTGCGGAAACGATATTGGAATCATAAAATGTTATTTACGAGGGCTAATAAACTATATTGACAGTCCTACTATTTTAAAACAAAGAGGAGGCTGTGAATTATTTGATGAAAAAATTTGCTCTTTCCAATACATGAACCAATCCCGAATATGGGAAAACAAATTATACATGTTCTCAGCAAGCACTGATCTTTGTAATTATCCATAGTTCAAGCAAGGAATTTATAAATTCTCAAAAATAAATATGATATATATATATATATAT